GCAACAAAATTTTAAAATAAAAAATTAATAAAATATCTATAAAAAATTATTTTAAAAAATTAATTAAATAAAACATCAATAAAAATTAAATAAAATTATTTTATTTTTAAATTGAGACTACTTTATTAAGTATAATTAATACCATGAGGAAAAAGATATTTAATACTAGAGGGTCAACAATGTAATTTGGCAACCTAATCTCACAGAATGAGTTATCCCATGATTTGTGTCCCACCCCCCCGAGATACTATAGTCCAACATATTTGGGATTAATAATTCGGATGGATTATTAGTCCACTGCAAAAAATTTGAAACAAACAACAAATTATTAATCCGGATGGACTATTAGTCCAACCCCACCCTTCAATCCCACCAAACAAACATGCTGTATGTGTATTTCTATTAGGTAAATGTTGTCCGACATTCAGAATTTTTGTATAACGTTATGCATTTCAAATTTAGTGAAATTTTAAGCAGATTTTGGTAATGTGAGTTTCTGTGTTTGTTTAAGTTATATTTTGAAAATTTATGGATAGATTAGTGTTAAACAATATTTGCTTAATATTATACTTTTGTTTATATTATTTTTAAAATTTATGATAGATTGATTTGTTTTGAAAAAATTGTATGATTTTTTTTTTTGTAAACAAATTATGTGAAACCATAATTCCAAACTGAGTCGAACCATGTTTAAATGGTTTCATTCGGATTAGTCTCATGATTTAAATGGATCGGTTTAGTTTCAATTTTTATGAAAAAACTGGAGTACGGATTACCGAATTAATCTGGACCATGTTCACACCTAAATTATATAGAACTCTCATTTATTCATTTATTTATATTTTAAGTTATGTATTAATAATTGTGATTGGTTGGCTTGATTGCAGTTTAGCCTATGTTTGGGAAGTGGGTTTTGGGGCTTTTTTAGCTAAAATAGTCACAAAAAATAAAATAAGTTTTTTAGTCCAATAAGGTAAAATCACTACAAGAATTCACACCTAAATTATATAGAACTCTCATTTATTCATTTATTTATATTTTAAGTTATGTATTAATAATTGTGATTGGTTGGCTTGATTGCAGTTTAGCCTATGTTTGGGAAGTGGGTTTTGGGGCTTTTTTAGCTAAAATAGTCACAAAAAATAAAATAAGTTTTTAAGTCCAATAAGGCAAAATATTATATTCAACTCATAATCATTACATTCTTGCTCTTATAAAAAAGCCAAACAAAGCCAAAAGTCTTTCCCCAACTAGGCTTTTTAGCTCCAGGCTAAAATAGTCAAAAAAATCAAAAAATCAAAAAGTCAAACCACTTCCCAATATTATATATTATGATTAAAAATCTTATTTTTAAAATTTTCCCAGCTGGGTGCAATCATCTTGACCATCTCCAACCAAAAAATTCAACTTAAAAAAAGATAATAATAATAAATAAATAAATAAAAGATTAGTGGGCACCGCCAAGTGATGACTTGGAGACTCGGGCTATTTTTGGAAGTGAAATTTTTTTTTATAATTTATTGAGTTATTATGAAAAATATATATATAAAGTAAAGATGATATAATTTAAATAAATTATGACTTTTTTCTTTTAAAAAAATTAGTGAAGCATTTCTCTTTAATTTTGTATAGTAAAAGAGGTTCAAGATTTTTTTTTATTAATTAAGGTCCCTCGATGAAATTTATCTATGATAATATCAGAGAAATTTTGTGATCATATTAAAGAAATTTTAAAATTTCTCGGTGAAAGTAGAGAAATTTTTCTGTGAAATCAGAGAAATTTTTTGTGTTGAGGTTAAAATTTTTTTGAGTCAAGTAAAATTTCTCTGAATCGAATTTTTTCTATAAAAATATTGAGGAAACTTAACTATTATAAAAAGATTACATATTTTTTATCTTATAAAATTCTAATATCAACTACTTTATATATCTATATAATAAAGCATGATGGTTTTTGAATTTATCCTAGACACATTTGTCCTACTAGAACATTTGAACGGCTTAGATCTATTCAAATTATAAAACAACGGCTGAGATATATTTTTGAAAAAATATCCTACATTTACATTTTCTATTTTCCCGCTTCTCTCTCTTACTTTTTATTTTTCTCACCCATCCTTCTATTATCCCACCTTCCTCTCTCTTTTCTTTTTATTTTTTATTTTCTCCCATTTTTATTTTTCTCTCTATTTGTTTTTTTTTTTTATTTTCTCCTTTTTGTTCACCTATTTTTATTCATATTATATAGAAAAGTCTGAGATCCCAGAATTAGAAACCAGATTTTACTGTATATAGTGGAGATTAAATTAATGAATTTTATAGTCCACAAATTAAATGAATTTCAACGATTAATTATTATTTTTAAATATATTGAATACCTGATAGACTTCGTAAATTTAGACCTCATATGAATCTTCAACATCTATATAATAAATCAAGATGATTTTTGAATTTGTCATACACACATTTGTCCTACTAGGACATTTTGACGACTCAAATCTATTCAAATTATAAAACAACGGCTGAGATATATTTTTCAAAAAATATCTTATATGTATATTTTCTATTTTCTCGCTTCTCTCTCTTATTTTTCCTTTTTCTCACTCATCTTTCTATGATCCCATGATCCCACCTTCATCTCTCTATTCTTTTTATTTTTTTTTATTTTCTCCTATTTTTATTTTTCTCTCTATTTGTTTAATTTTTTTATTTTCTTATTTTTATTCACTTATTTTTATTCATATTATATGGAAAAGTTTGCGATTCCATAATTTGGAGCCAGGTTTTACTGTGTGTAGTGGAGATTAAATTAATAAATTTTATAATCCACGAATTAAATGAATTTGAACAATTAATTATTATTTTTAAATATATTGAATACCGGATAGACTTCATAAATTTAGACCTCATATGAATCTTCAACATCTATATAATAAAACAGGATGATTTTTGAATTTGTCCTACACACATTTGTCTAACTAGGACATTTAGACGGCTCAGATCTATTCAAATTATAAAACAACGGCTGAGATATATTTTTTTTAAAATATCCTACATGTACATTTTCTATTTTCCCGCTTCTCTCTCTTACTTTTTCATTTTCTCACACATCCTTCCATGATCTCATGATCCCACCTTCCACTCTCTTTTATTTTTATTTTTTTATTTTCTCTCGTTTTTATTTTTCTCTCTATTTGTTTATTGTTTTATTTTTTTCTTTTTATTCAATATATTTTACGCATATTTTACGCATATTTCCATATTCTAATTCTAACATTATTTGCACCATGCCTTCAGGCACGGGCATACGCTAATATATATATATATATATATGTCGAAAATTTATTAAAAAATCTTTTTTTAAGTGTTTGTGTCTCAATTAGTCCATAAGATATTCTTATATTCTAATAAGTCCTATTATTTGAACATTTGATCTATTAAATCATAATTCTCATATTTAAGATATTTTATGGACATTTCTACCCTTACAAATATTTTTTGAACAGTTAGCAATTTGGTGATGTGAACATTCATATTTTATAATATGAATATTCACATTGACGTATGAATGTTCATATTGATAATATAAATATTCACATTGATGGTGTGAATATTCACATTGATATTCACGTTGACATGTTAACATTCACATTGACGATTTGAACATTTACATTGATTGTGTGAATATTCACATCACGGAACATTCACACTGTAAATGTGAATATTATTATGGGTATTTTGGTAACTATGTTACCCATAGGACTTATTGGAACACAAGAAAATAATGTGGATTAAATGAAACATAAATAGGTGAAAAGAGATTTATGAAAAAATACTCCTATATATATTTTAATTTAAAGTTTTTTTGCCTTCCAAAAACCTCAAAGTGTTCTCAGACCGCATGCATGCATCCGTAAGTAACTTAGTGCAACTTGACAAATTTCATTGAGAGGAATCAGCAAAGAAAAAAAAATGGGTCAACATCTTAATGTGTATTTGAGAGATTGTCCTCGGGTTGAGGAGTGTCCACATGAGTTCGTTAAGGTATCAACAGAGACTTGCGAGTCTCTTTTATATTCTGTCAAGAGTTTGGATTAGTCCACCTAAGTAGGATGAAAAGAAGGAATCAATGGGTACGATTACTTGCAACCTCGAGTTACTCAATTTTGTTGGTACACAAAAGATGTTCTCCTTAACAACCTCTCTCTCATAACAAAACAATGGGAAGGAATTAGGGGTGTAATTTTGGCCGGGCCTGGTCCATGTCGGGCCTCGCGGGCTCTCACCAAAAATCCGACCAAGCCGGGCCGGGCCACGGGCCAGAAAACTAAGCTTACGCTCAAGGGTATTCGGGCTTTAAGCGGGCCAGTAGGCGGGGCCTCGGGCGAGGTCGCTAGGCCTGAGCCTAAGCTCGGGCTTTGGGTAGGTCTAAACAATTTTTTTCACCAAAAATTTATTATTTTCCATTAAAAATAACATTGGGCCTCGGGTGGGCTGGGTCTCAGGGCGAGTTTTTGAGTGGGCCCTGAGTGGGCCAATGGATCGGGCTCACAAGTTGGGCTTCAAAACGATGGCCTAAGGCCTCGGGCTGAGCTTGGGCTCGAGCCTAAATGGGTCGAGCCCACCCCGGACTGCGGGCAGACTTCAGGCCGCCCACTGGTTACGGGCCAATTTCACACTCCTAGAAGGAATGACGCAACAAATAATATGGTATTTTATTGGGTTTGTTTTTTGGGTGGGTGTATTTTAGGCCATGTTTAGCAGGTTTATCTGGATTAAAATAATTATATAAGATAAAATTAATTATTTTAATTAAATATAATAAAATATTACGTTTAAATCGTAATTATTTTTATTTTTTTTTTAAAAAAATTAAAAAATCTACATCAAATGAAATTTTTTTAGCCTTAAATTAAAAAAATTAAAAAATCAAAAAAAACAACTCATACCATTAGGTTAGAAGCCAAGTCATCAGATAACGATTATTTTCGGAATATTCCGATGAAGAGGAGAAGAAAAGAGGGACGATAGAGAGAGGGAGGGGGGAGAGAGAGAGAGAGAGAGAGAGAGAGAATCAATAATGGGTTTCTCTAAAGACAATCTGATTGGGTTTATGTTGGCTATTTCTTCAAGTGTGTTTATAGGAGCGAGCTTCATTATCAAGAAGAAAGGCCTCAGAAAAGCTGCTGCTGTTTCTGGTGTCAGAGCTGGTGATTTTTTTTATTTATTTTTTTATCTCATTTTCTTTTGATTTTCTCTGAATTTATGGATTTTCCTTTTTTGGGTTTTGGATTTTCTCAAATGGGTTTGCCTTTGATTTGATTTGATTTTAATTAGGTGTTGGTGGCTATTCGTATCTTCTGGAGCCTCTCTGGTGGTTCGGCATGATCACTAGTAAGTTTTTCATTTTTTTTTTCTTCTTTTGGTATTTTTTTTTCCTTTTTGTTATTAATCTTTTTGTCCCAAGTTATTTCAATTTTTCTCAATTTTACTTAATTTTGTGGCAAATTGTATGAACAGATCACCATTTAAAACTATTTGAATATTTGCTCTCTTTGAATATTCCCTTTGAGTAGGGTTCGCATTAATTGCTGTTTGGAATTATGCAATTCATTGGTTTTTATTTTCTTATTTTTATGATTCTTCCAATAATAATAATAAAAGTCTAGGAACACAAAAACAAATTACACACGATTCTCTTACTCGTGTTCGGTTCTGCAATTGGTTTCTATACAAGTAGAAGGACTGGTAATCAAATTTGAAGTTTTATTCATTTGAACTTTAATTATCTATTACCTTTTACACAGTCAGGGCCGGCCCTGAGGTGAGGCAACCAAGGCAGTCGCCTCGGGCCCTCAATTTTGAACAAAATTTAGGTCCCCCAACCAGGAGTGTGTATCATGTCGTGTTATTTCATAATTAATTTAATATTAGCTCAATCTATTTATTTTCATGTTGTCGTATTTTGATTCGTGTCCGATTGATGTTTAATGTGAAAACTTTCACAGTACAGATTTGAAGCCTTTTTTTTGTGTGTGTTTATTTTGGGGTCAAAGCTCAGTTGATTAAGGTACCTATTGATAGACCAAACAGTAATTTTCAATGGGCTTTTGGTTCTTCACTGACTCTCTGCAGAATCTCTCTTTCTGTATGATTTATTGATATAGTGATTTTTGGAGAGGTTGCAAACTTTGTGGCATATGCATTTGCCCCTGCAGTTCTAGTCACCCCACTTGGTGCATTAAGTATTATTGTCAGGTAATTCTTTTTTCTTTTTTTTTTTTTGTGCATCAGTCATATGCTATAAAGTTGGTTTCTTTCTCAACTTTTTGAGTGGTATGTTTTAGCGCTGTATTGGCTCACTTCATCTTGAAGGAGAGATTACACCATCTGGGCATTTTGGGTTGCGTGATATGCATAGCTGGTTCTATCGTAATTGTTATCCATGCACCACAAGAGCATCCTATCACTTCTGTTCAGGAAATATGGAGTTTGGCAACTCAACCAGGTAGAATTCAGCCTCACTAACTACATTTTCTTTTATATCTACAGTAGCATCTCTATATGACTAACCATTCCTTTCAATGCCAGCCTTTTTGATGTATGTGGGATCAGTGATTGTGTTGGTATTTATTCTGATCTTCTACTTCGCTCCTCAATGTGGGAACACAAATGTACTAGTTTTCACTGGAATTTGCTCTCTGATGGGTTCTCTCTCGGTAAATATTTTGAACTGCTGAATCCAAATGTATAATATGTATTTCTTTCTTCTGAAATCATCTTACTCAAGTTTTGCCAAAATCGGACAAACACTCAATCATTGAAGCTTGTATGGATATGGATACGGATATGGAATACAAATACGATTTGATACTTATATGAAAATACAACAAAACCTAGAAAAATAGGGTATAAATATGGTGAGGATATGTTAGAAAAAATTATAATTTTTAGTATTGTACAATACATAGGCTCAAAGACTGGTGAGGAATCTTTCTTTTGAAATTATTAGATATTATCTCAAGACTCAATAGTCAATATACTTTTTTTTGGTGGCTCCTACATTTCAATATCAAGTCTAAACTATTTATATTGCCCTTTATACTTTTTCACGTTATTAAAAGTGCTATATGCAAAAGTATTATATGTAAATTTACTTGCTTATTTAATTGTTAAAATTGTCATTATATATTTATTTTTTTTATCCTTACTTTCTACAAAGTATGGATATGAATATGGAACACGTGTGACACATTAAGGATGCGTTAACTCGATTAATTTTGAACTATTTTCTTCTTAAGTAAGAAATAAGAAAATGATTGACGAACTATTCTTGTATTAGCATAACAATTATACATACTACAATGTTATGCAAGAACTATTACAATCTCAATCTCATAACAGTTTTGATGCGTGTCCATACTTCTCAAAATTAAAGAACATTAATTTCTAGTATCGGATATGCTCAAGAAGTATCAAATATGTATCCATGAGTATCCGATGAGTATACTGATAGGGATATGGATACGACTCCCTTCTAGAAGTATTTGTGCTTCATAGTCTACAACAATTATTGAAGTTTTACAACGATGATATAGAAATCTTGTGTAGCTAGAGTATATTTTCCTTGAGGCCTTTTTGGTTAGGTGGAGAGTTTTGGAAAATAAAGGAAAGAGAAAAAATTATATAGTTAGAATAGATTTTCCTTGAGGCCTTTTTGGTTAGGTGTGGAGTCTTTGAAAGTAAAGGAAAGAGAAAAGATTATAATCTTTTTGGGTTTGGTTTGTAAGAAAATGAAAAATATTCAAAAAGCGAAGTCTTACATAACTTGGTTACTAAAGTAATATGCAATATAAAAGCGTGAGGGCACTCTCGCGTCAATAGCTAACCTTTGAGGTTGAATTCTACCCAATACCGTGTAACATAGTATTAGAGCTGAAGTACCAAGGATGGGTAGGGTGCGTGTCCTTGGCCTATACACCGCAGGTGCTGTCGAGTGAGCACGCTGGGCAAGAGGAAGGGTGTGATACGAAGTCCCACATCGCTTGATTACTAAAGTAATATGCAGTATAAAAACGGGAGGGCACCCTCACCTCAATAGCTAGCTTTTGGGGTTAAGTTTTACCCAATACCATGTAACAATTTTCACTTAATTTCTTGAAGATACAGCTTATCATTTTCTGCCAAAAAAAAAAGAAAAAAAAAAATCACTTTCTTGTTAAAGTTGTTATCTATTTCCTAGATTGCAACTTTATCCATTCTTTTTAAATACAACTTCTTTTATATGGATAAATAGATAAGGTTAATATATACATAATCATTTTACTTTTATTCAAATAATAAATTGTTATTTTCGTGCAAGTTTTTGAAAAAACTTTGCACATTACCAAATGCATGTAGAAAAGTTATTTTTCATTTTCCTTTCATTCTCACTACTTTCTTATACTTCCTCTTCTAGGTTTGCTTTGTTTTTTCATTCTAACCAAGTATAACCTAATGTCTTTCTATGAAGTAAATTACTGTTAGAATGTATTAGGAATATTTCCTATTTCATCCTTATGTATATTTCGTATCTTTATTTATACCTTAGAGTGCTCCTATAATTACGCGAATGAGTTAATATAAAAAGGGATGAGATATCACTCATACCTATCTTTTTTTTTCTCAAAATAACAAGAAAGACACCCATGACTAGCCTCCAACCTATCGATAGACCTAGGCTGAAATAGGAAATATTCCTAATACATTCTAACACTCCTCCTCAAGCTGGTGCGATTATATCTCTCATGCCCAGTTTGTTGAGAATGTCACGAAATGATTTATTTCCTAAGCCTTTGGTGAGAACATCAGCCAGTTGGTCCCCAAACCTCATGAATGGAGTACATATAGTCTCATTAGTGAGCTTTTCCTTAATAAAATGCCTATCAATCTCCACATGCTTGGTCCTGTCATGTTGAACCGAATTGTGAGCTATATTGATGGCTACCTTGTTGTCACAGTATAGCCTCATCGAATCTGTTTGATGAATCCCCAAATCCCTCAAAAATAATCTAATCCATAATAGCTCAACACACCTTGAGCCATAGCTCTAAATTCAACCTCTGCTCTGGACCACGCAACTATATTCTATTTCTTGCTTCTCCAAGTGATTAGATTTCCTCCAACAAGGGTACAATAGCCAGATGTTGATTGTCTATCAGTGACTGATCTAGCCCAATCAACATCTGTATAGGCCTCCACACTAAGATGACCATGTTTTGAGAAATAGAGACCCTTTTCCCAGATAAGACTTTAAGTAGCTCAGAATTCGCATAACTGTCTCTAAATAAATTGCACGTGGAGCATGCATAAATTGACTAACCATACTCACTTCATTTAGCTTAGTCATAGAGTGTACCTTGGTCAGTTTATGCATGCTCCACGTCCAATTCATTTAGAGACAGTTTATGCGAATTCTGAAGTACTTGAAGTCTTCTTCGGGAAAGGGTCTCTATTTCTCAAAACACGGTCATCTTAGTGTGGAGGCATATACAAATGCTGATTGGGCTGGATCAGTCACTGATAGATGGTCAACCTCTGGCTATTGTACCTTTGTTAGAGGAAATTTAGTCACTTAGAGAAGCAAGAAATAGAATATAGTTGCACGGTCCAGTGCGGAGGCTGAATTTAGAGTTATGACTCAGGGTGTGTGTGAGCTATTATGGATTAGATTATTTTTGAGGGATTTGGGGATTCATCAGACAGATTCGATGAGGCTATACTGTGACAACAAGGCAGCCATCAATATAGCTCACAATCCAGTTCAACATGAGAGGACCAAGCATGTGGAGATTGATAAGCATTTTATTAAGGAAAAGCTCACTAATGGGACTATATGTACTCCATTCGTGAGGTCTGGGGACCAACTGGCTGATGTTCTCACCAAAGGCTTAGGAAATAAATCATTTCGTGACATTCTCAATAAGCTGGGCATGAGAGATATCTTCGCACTAGCTTGAGGGGAGTGTTAGAATGTATTAGGAATATTTCCTATTTCATCCTTGTGTAGATTTAGTATCTTTATTTATACCTTAGAGTGCTCTTGTAATTATGCGAATGAGTTAATATAAAAGGGGATGAGATATCACTCATACCTCTATCTTTTTTCTTCTCAAAATAACAATTACTTCTATGTGAACAGGTGTTATTTTAGAACAATGTTCTAAAACATTTCTTGAATTGAAACTTATTTTAAGCTTTGATGGCTTAATTGATCATCTGATTAAAAAGATTTAAACCTTAAAGTACTTTTATTGCTTAGTTATTTATTTATTTTGAAGATTGTTAATTCCACAAGCAGCAACCTAAAAACTTTATTGCTTAAACTGATGTTTAAAAAATTTCTCATGGGATATGGATCACGTTAAATGGTTGGTTGAAGCGTTATTATTGGTCCACCAATCCTCTTGATATTGTGAAGTTAGGAGAAATTTTCATTCGCTTGCCAATGCACTCGTGTCATGAATTGTTACCTTTTGAGTTTCTATTGAAGTTATTCTGATTGGACCATCCTTCTATTAATTTAATGAATGAGTGAACTTCTTCATTTTTGTTTTTATGCGGTGCACTAGATTTTATATTTCAAATTTTTTGTTTGATGTACAGGTGATGAGTGTTAAAGCCCTTGGAACTTCACTGAAGTTAACTTGTGAGGGAAAGAACCAGTTAATCTACCCAGAGACCTGGTTTTTTATGTTTGTGGTGGCTACATGTGTTGTCACACAGTTGAATTATCTTAACAAGGTTAGTGATGACTTTCTGCTTATAGTGGATTAGGGTGAATTACTTGTTTGTGCCCAAATTATATGTGGCAACTTGCTTACATGCAATAGATGAATGATGAATCAGACCCATTTTTCCCTCCCCACTGTTCCCCTTCTATCTCCTTCTCCTTGACAATAAGATGATCACGAAAAAGTAAATTTGAAGAAGCAGAAAAGTTTGGAAAATTGGTTTCAAGCCCGGTCCTCTTAGGGACCTTGCTAGTTTTGATTAAATTAAATACAAATTGTTAGAATAAACTCAAAAACTTAAATTAAAATCATACATAAAATTAATTAACAAAACAATCTCACTTATCAGCTCATCGATTGATTTCTTGTTGAACTTGCCAATCACACCTAGGACCTATTCAAAGCTATTTGTAGCATTGATGTTCTTACTTTTTTTCCTCTTTCTTTTTTCTTTTTCTCTGTGTGTGTGTGTGTGTGGGGGGGGGGGGGGTTTTAAAAAAAGAGAGAGCGCAATTGGTTTAGTCAAAACTAATTTGGTTCAAATGACTCTTTGGTGGTGGTAACTTACTAATATAATGTAGGAATGTCAAGTTCTTATTGTTGGGGTTCACCTCACATCATAATAAAGTTGCAATTGTTTTTCCTTTGGAGGTCACCAACCATCATAAATGTCGGATGGAGGTCTAGACATTTGACTATGTATGGGTGAGGCATGCATTGTGTCAGCAAGCAAAAATCAATGATCCACCAAAATGTTTGTAGATTCATTACTTGCAAATCTTTACCTTGAAAAGTGCAGTAGCAGAATGGTTCAGATAGAGATCTCTTAAATGCCCAATACCTAAGATTAGCTATAAATACCCCTGATGGGAGGGCTTTGGAAAGCAAGTTGAGTGGAGTGACAGCAAATAGTAGTCACTCAAGTTTTTAGCAAAACTTGTGTGTATAGTATATTCTCATTTATTTGGATAGTGTGTTAGGGTATACCCACTATTCATTGGAGAGTGTTTGTGAGTACCTTCTATTGAGAGTTCATCAAAATTTCTTGGCATAAAGGTTATTTTAATTTCAAAGTTGATCAAAATTTCTTGAATTTGAATTGATGCTTACATTGTTTTCTTTTCTAGTATCATAAATGCCATCTGGTCTAATGATGTGGCCTTGATATTTCAGGCTCTTGACACGTTCAACACTGCAATTGTTTCCCCTATATATTATGTCATGTTCACATCACTTACAATCCTTGCCAGCGTAATAATGTTCAAGGTAATTTCAGGTCACTTTCATAGATGGAAATTTTATTGAGATTTGGTTTAGTGGGTCAGGGGTGACCCCAAGGTTACTTTCTCATATTAAAATGTCAATAATGAACAACTCTGAAAGCACCCCACAAGTAGTGTTGGTTTTCAATCCTCCATAAAAATTATCTCATCATTCATTCAACTATTAACATAAAAAATAATAATAATAAAATTAAAGGATAAGATCATTCATTCAATTATTAAAATCTACTGAAAAAATTGTTGTTCCAGGATTGGGTTGGCCAAAGTGGGGGAAGCATTGTATCAAATATATGTGGCTTCATTGTTGTGCTTTCGGGGACTATCTTGTTGCATGTGACCAAAGACATTGAGAGAAGTTCTTCTTTTAAAGGTGCATTATATGTTCCTTGCCTTTCTTTCCAATCTCCTATTTCTCTCATTCTTATACTTTTGTCAGTCTATTGGACATTCAATTGCTTTTTAGGTTCATGATTAAATGCATGGTTATTAGCTATGAAGCATGAACACTTCAAAACAAGTGTCATAGCCGTGTCGGACAAACGGACACGGCGGGGACACATACGGGACACGCCACATGACATGTCCCCTTATTTAATTAATTTATTTGACATGTTGGGGACACACTAGAGACATGCCAACTTGTCTTTTCTCCCATTTTTTTTTTTTTAGTGTTTTTAATGAATGTTGAATGTTTATTATTTTTTCTGTAAATTTAAATGCTTAATAGATCATCCATAAAAGTATATATTAACTTGAGTGTTAATTTAAAAGTGGATTTTTTTTAAAAAAAAAAAATAGAATTAGAGGTAGTTTTTGTTAATATTGATTATTTACGGATGTAATATTATTCTAAACAACAAATAAAAATATATGAAAACATATTTTATTATTTTGGAAATCGCTATGTTCCGTGTCTGCATCCATGTTTGTGTCCGCATCTGTATCCATGTTTGTGCTTCTTAAGTTAATAGAATCTTATGATTCATGATTCCATTCAATTTTCAAGCAAAATGATCTGATTCGTGTAGTTGAATATTATATTGAGTGAATTTTTCGACTTAATTGCAACTATTCATTATGATACACTGCAATTCAAACGATTTCGTAGTTTGTTTTTTTTTTTAAAAAAAGAAAAAAAAAAAGAAAGAAAAGAGTTCAACCAATTATATTGATATACATGATTTTATATGTATAGAATAATGCTACAAATCCACAAATTCACTCACAACGATGCACAAGGAATGTAGGTCTTATATCATTGGATGTGTAACTAATCCAAAGTTGACACCTATCATACGACCTCAGTGTGGGTCGAATTGTGGAAACTTTGTGGGTCTCAAACATTTTCCATATATATTATACAGTTATATATTATTCTAAATAATGTGAATATTACAATTCACAGTTTAATAACAATGCCTAAATGTTCAAAACAAATGCAGGAAACTATGCACCCCTTTCACCTTCATTTTCAGCTCGACTGTGCAATGGAAATGGGGATTTGCTGAACCATGAAGACGAAGATGAACAATGTTCTGAGGAAGTTTGTCTAAGAAGACAAGAACTTTACCCATAATTGTGAGCCTTCATAGAAACAAAATCCAAGCCATTTTACCCAAAAACTGGGCATGTGAAATTCACGTCCAAATAACTGTTAAAGGGGGGATGCAAATCAGGTGACTTCAGATCGCAGCTTCATGCAATGACCAAAAGTTTTCAAGAACTTGTTTGATCGGTTATTCAGTACTAACATCATCAGGATTCATCTTTAGCTTGTCATTGTTGAGAGCATACTGGATAGTTGTTGATGCTTTACTTTTTGGGGGTTGCTAAGTTGTACAGCTTGTCGATGGTGTTGAAATTGTACAGCATAATTTGTTCAAGATCATAAAAGTAGACTGGTTTTTAGGGGTAGTAAAATGGTATGATGCAAAACTATGAAGACCTAAAAATGAGATCAAATGAAGAATGCTGGGATCCGTTGGGCAAAGATCTACAGTCTACACTGAAAGACTTGAGCTGTACTGGGAATTTAGTGATTTTTGTTCAATTTTTCGGTGTATTGTTTCTTTCGTATAGAATGAGAAAGGAGTCTTTGTATGGTGTTTACCAATTAACGGCAGTTTCTTGGATTGATTGTTATTGTTTTCATTGTTGTGAGATAAATGATTGATATCAATTTTTATTGGGTGTATTTCATTCTTTGTCATAGAATGAGAAACGAGTCCTTGTATTGTGTTTACCAATTGACAGCAGTTTCTTGGATTGATTGCTACTGTTTGCAAATTGCAATTTTTTTTTTTTGATGTTGGGATAATTGATTGATATGTCACATTTTCATTTTACGAGAGACTTTGTTTAACACACTATTTTAACAAAACATGAATAATTTAATTCATTTGCTTTCATTAAAAAAAAAATTACTTCCTCTATCCCCTTGTCTAATGACAAAAGTACTTTTTTTCTGTTGGGTTTTACTTAACGGAAATAAGTTGATGATTTAAATTAAAAACAAATCAAAAGATCAGGATTTAAATTGATAAAATAAAAAACTCATACTTTATTTTGTTAAGGGTAAAAAATTCCTGGCACTTTTTTGATAATTAATTTGAGGAATCATTTTACCCTCCAAATTTTCACACGTTTTTCAATTTAACCCCCAAACTTTGATTAATATCAATTTTACAATCAAACTTCTGAAATTTTCATCAATTTGGCCCATGCCGTCACATTTCGACTACAATTGGATGGAATGCATTGACGTGACAGCAAAATTCTTTTGAAATTTCATTTTACCTCCCAAACTTTACCTTAAAAATCAATTTGCCCTCCAAATATTAAAAAAAATTTTAAAAAAAATTAAAAAAAAATTTTTAGGTTTAGTTTGGAGAATAAAATGATTTTTAAGGTATAGTTTGGGAAATAAAATGAAATTTCAAATGAACTTTGGTACTGCGTCCGTACAGTCCATCCAATTGTAGACAGAATGTGACAACAAAGGCCAAATTGATCAAAATTTTGAAAGTTTGGGTCTAAAATTGATATTAGTCGAAGTCTATGGGTCAAATGGAAAAATGTGTGAAAATTTGGGGAGTCTAGTTTCAATTTGGTACATCCATTGAAGTTGGAGGTTTAAAGTTAATAACTTAAGCATATTTGTTAGTCTCTTAAGGTGTAGATGTAAAATAAATAAATAATAATAATAATGAAATTTGGATCAAATGATTAAATTAAAACTCAACTTAAAACTTAAAGTTTATGGATCAAATTGTTCAATTTAAAATAATTGAGACCAAAGTCAAATTTGAATCAAACTATAAGAGTAGAAAATATAATTTGTCCAATAAATAAATAAATAACTATAAGCAACGCAATTAATTATGCCAAACAAGACTATGAACTTATCAGAAGTGGATAACATGTGTAAATTTAATTGCACTTCACATGACCATGGTCTTTTAAATTTGGGCACTAGATCTATAAATTTAAATTTATATGAGTAAATGGATGATAAATCCAAACTAAAAAAGGTATAAGGTATTAGATTCAGTGAATATTTTTTTGTTAAAGAGAAGTTCACTCTTTGTGAAATAGTTTGGTGGGAAGTCCTTTTGTTTGTTTGAAATGATATTTTGTTTCTAATTTTATCCCTTAATTTATCTGTTGACTATCTGTTCAATTTTTTCCTATCTATTCAAATTCTATGGGTTTCTCTATCTGCCTGTTCAAATTTTCCTCCTATCTATCTAATTTTCTCCCTTATCTATTGAAATGTGTTAATTCTTGTTCTAATTTTTATCTGTACAAATTTATCTGTTCAATTTTTTATTTGTCAAAATTTTATTTCTCTATCTGTTGAAACCAACACTCAAATTTTAATTTGTTGCAATCTGTTTGTTCTTCTTCTTCTTCTTCTTCTTCTTCAACAACAACAACAACAAAAAATTAGAAGGGAATAAATAAATAAATAAATAAACAACAATAACATTCTTGCCATTAGAGCATTTCCTCTGATCATTAACAGCAATAACAACAACAACAACAACAAATAAAGCAAATAAATAAATAAATAATAATCTATGAGTTTACTCATTCAAAAGCAAGAGGATGCAAGATATACAAGCATTTTTTGAATTTGAACGCAAGTTGTCTAGTTAATGAAAAATTTTATAGGCTATTTGGGATGATCTAAATAAGTATACTTTTTAGCTTTTTACGAAAAGATATGCAGAACAGTAGAAAGATAATGTGATCCAAATAAGTGCACTTATCTAAATATTTAGATAAGTGCACTTATATAGGTTATGCTAAGCACCCCCTTAGTTTCCATGTTTACTCCAAAGTTTGTGAAACCAAATCTATTATTTTGTAAGGGAGAAATTAGTAACAAAAATAGTGTGACAAGAGTTCAGAAAACCTCAGTACTCACTGCAGCTTGTTTTTCGTGCTCCTTTCGGATACGACAGCCCTACAGTTTAGACTCCTGTAGTTCTAAATTTGATTTCACAAGTGCAATGTGAAATAGATAAACACAAATGAGTCCCAATCCGGCAATTCTTTGGGAAAATCGATTTTGAATCAAAATGCCAAAAAATGGATTACTTTGCCAGATTTCAGCATTGCCACCTAAATGTTTTTGGAAAATTTAGAAAACCTGTGACTTCTGCCAAAGGCCACATGCCCGTCATCACCAAAGTGTCTCGACTCGGGAACTTTGGTATGAGAGGGAAAGGTCATGAATTGAGCACCCCACTCACCCGATCAAAGATCGGCCTCTACTAATTATGGTGTGATTCTTATTTACATTATATGCTCTTGTTTTGATTATTAGGCTATCTTTACTAGGTGATGCACACAAGTGTAGACTAATTTGCGAAAGTTGGAACATTTTGATTTTATGTGTGTTTTGAAAAGTGTTTGAATATATACCACTTGAAAAAGTGATCCCATATGTACATTTAAGCAAATCATCCCAACTTAAGCAATTAGCTTTCATCCGCAGGCATTCAAACAGGTATATCACTTAAGCACTTAGCCTCATGGATATGCTAGTTATAGCAACAATCACACATATGCGATATGCTAAAGCAAAACTGCTCACCTAGTACTCCAAGGCAAGCCAAAGAAGATAAAATAATTAGAAGAGATGTATGCTCCTAACAATGTAAATGACTAATGCAACACATGTAAAGATGCAACTACTAGGCTCGGCTACTAGCATGGCATGTGAATTAATTTGATAATATGCAGCTAAGCATGTATTCAAATAAAGAATGTGAAATAACGAGAAAGTTAGAATGATGCGCCGAACCCAATGCGTGCAAGATAAATGCACGCAAATCATGGAAAATGCTAATTCAAAGCATGATGCTCTATGCTATCCATCATAAGCAAGTAAATAAAATGGAGAAAGAAATGGGGTCGGAATACATACACACATTATTACAATTTTGCCCTCATGCAAGAGGATCCGAATGAATGTCCTACTTTACGCTAATTATTACAACATTAAAATTAATTAGCTATTCTAACTAATTAATACAAATTAGAATTAAACTAACTAATTAGTTACAATACGGAATTTAATTAACTAAGTAATTAATTATTACAAGTTCACTACTTTAGGTACAGCATACTACTATTAAACATAATTTTAACGGGCCTCGAGAAACAAGGGATGGTTCATGCATGAATGCGAATTTCCACCCGAAAATGCCTTTGTTCTGCTGCCAAAATGGTTCTGTTGTGCAATCTGAAAATTGAACTGTTTTTACCCCATCTAGGATTCATTTTTTAAAAAATTAGACCTTTTTATTTTTCGTGTTTTTTTTTTTTAATTTTTATGTTTACTGAATTTTTTTCTGTTTTGTTTTGCAATGAAAATGGCACTGCTGGTCTAAAATGACGTGGCTGGCCGGCCAGTAAAAGTGGTCGACCGTACAGTGAGGTGGCCGGCCGGCCGACCACTAGTTTTGGGTTCTCCCCTACTGCAATAGAAAAGAAACAAAGTACAAACAGAGTATTTTCAGGAGATGTTTGTCCACCCCGCCTCTCCTTATCATCAAACAGATCAAAGGAGGGGTAAGCTTGATTCACAAACCATCAATCGGTGCAAACTCGTTGCGTGATGGTTTATGAATCAAGGGACAAAATCTCAATAAATGATAATGAAAGACCCACAAACCTCCTTCCTATCATGAATTGATCAAGGGAAGTGGTAGACCTTAAATCTTGAGCCATTATCATCACTAAAGATTATGAAACAGTTCAAGACTCAATGGTTTCAACTAACATCAGATTGAACCCCAAACTAGATTTTATTATCTTGTTCCATTTTAGCCCAATTTTATTGCCTCTTTTATTTACCTTTCCATTCCAAGAATGAGAATTAAGTCCACTAAATGGAGAGGAGTGTCAAACAAGAAGTTGTTTTGGGCATGCGAAAGATGTAATGTCTTGGTAATGAACCTCCGAAGAGATTAAACCATTAAGCATGGAAGGGCCTATTTCTCAAGCTTAAACAACTCTCAAAAAAATAAAAGTCAAGAAAGAAGGAAGGTTGCAGAGGTGATTATATGTGAACACAAGTATAAAAAACATGAAATAAATGCTATCAACTCAAATAGGTTGATGTCTAATGCCTAAACCACCAAACCTATGAGGACCACTACACTACAAGCCTACTATACAAAGTATAAATGAAATAAACACCATAAAACAGTCCTAAAAAACAACAAAAATAGTGCTGTAAATAACATGGAAAAGCTTGAAAAAATTAGCTAAAACAATAGAGAAATTGAGCTAGTAAACAAGCATAAGAAGGGGTGGCTAACCCCTCCAATTTTGGGACTTCAAAACTACGTTTTAAACCTCTGAAAAACTCTAAAAATAAGTAGGAAAAAGTAGAAAAACAAATGGGAAACACAAGGGCAAAAGTTTGGAAAATAAGGTTCAAAGAATGGTGGGTTACCACTCTACCTTTGATAGCTTTAAGCCACAAGTTTCAACCCATAAAAACAATGGCAAAACAGTCCAAAAATAGTAAGAAACGATAAGAAAGAAGCACTGTAAAAGAGCTAAAAGTTATACCTCTTGAAGAGGAGTAACACTTTGATTCACAAACCTACAATTTCTCACCTTTAAGTGCTGAAATTCAAGCTCAAGAACCTCAGCAAGGAGGCCTAAAAATTTGGTTTAGGGAGTATAGATAGAGTGTATATAGGTTGCAAGATAGAGAGAGAGAGAGAGAGAAAAATATTTTCAAGAATT